GGCATATTAAGGGTCAAGACTGACGTTGTCAAGACGACTTGCAGACTTCATTTATTTCAAACTATTTGAAATGACAAACAAATGCTAAATTGAACTTGTTTTAATTAATAGGTCTTGACTTTCTTTGCTCTTACATATTTCTATTAGGGAACATTTTATTCATATGGTATTAGTGCTAGACACAACTTTAATACTGGGGTCAGGCAAAGAACCCAATTTGTTAAGCTATTAGTCACAATCACCTGATTTAAAAAGATATGGATCTGAATGAATGGTCTCCTGCTTCTAAAGGTCTATAACTACCTTAAAGAATACTGTTACTAAAGCTGGCCTAAATCTACTATACCTACAATATACTGTACCCAACATCACCTTAGCTCATTTCTCTTCTCTCTTACCAATTTAAGAACCATGAAGAAAAAAAGTGTTAATGATAATCCATGCACTCAGCAGCAGAGTTGGTCAACATGAAAGGAGCGGACTGGGAAACCGAGTGTGATTATGCTTATCTTTGAGACAAAGCAACTGGGAAAGTAACTTTCTTTGCGTGTAACATTATGTGAAATGGATATATATCACTCTGGCTAATTAGATTCACTATTTTTCGGTAGTTCATAGAAACTTTTACTTGAATGAATGATCTTCAGACTTCCAGAAAACAGTAAGCTTACACTATAAATACATAAACCTGGGTCTGGGCCATTAAGAGAGCAAAAATATTTGACAAATCAGAAGTTAATTACAAGATTATTTCTTCCAAGACTTTCTTCTGTGCTCTCAATTTCATTATTGTCCACTGAACACCCAAAGTCAAAACAAACGTCAAACTATTTACTGAGACTATATCTCTATGTTTAACTTTTAGTTCATTCATGGCACACAAAATGCACAAAGTATGCAATACAAATTGCAAATCATATAACATTTATGGGTTAATTCTTACAACGCTCTATGATGAAACTAACCATCTGTTTCAAAGGTGAAGTGTCACTGTGATTTGTGTCATCCAGCCCTGCTTCCCTAAAGCAGTAAAGGTATTTGCTCCAGAGAGATCTGATTTTCAAGAGATGCCGTTTCAATTTTAAGAGCTTTTAGAAGCTTGAAATATGTTCTTTTCCTCAAACTCAATGTTGTCCAGATCAGCACTTTCCGAATCATACTGTATATTTTCTAATTTGCTAACCAAAGACTACTGCTTTTAGTGGTATTAAAATAAAATTCGAGGAACACGACAGCAATATTATGGAGATATATAAGCTGATAACAGTAACTTTCTTACAAAAGAAGCCTGGTCTACTGATTTCTGTAAAACTGACGATGTAAAAAAACGGTATCAGTTTAGTGCAACAAAAGCTTCAAATGGAAATACATTATCTCAAACTGCAATGATAACCTATTATTTGAAGCTACTATTCTCTTTAGCTGCTATTACACAGTAGGCTAACCCTTTGGACAAAAAGATTACTGCCAAAGATCAGATTATTTCATTTTTTTCTGCATGCTGAACACTAAAGGAAATTACAGTACATATTGGATTATGTCAGATCTTGCAGAAACAGAGATACCCATAAGGAATCTATGATAAAATGGTAATGAAAGTCAAGTAATGACTAAATTTGTGTTGCTAAGATTATTTTTCATTATTTAACATTTTAACACAGCTATTTGGTGGAACAAATTTTCAATGGGAAACCAAAATAAAAAATAAATAAATCCAAATTCCTTTTTATACCATTACAGGTAAAAAAAAGAAAAAAAAAGAAAAAAAGACAGGATAAAACATTTGTAAAGCATGCTCACATAAAACCATTTTTTTTCATTCTTTTAACTTAAAATGTAAAGACAAAGCTATGCACTTCTGCACTCAGTGTTACTTAAGCATAAACTTTAGAGATGTAAGGAAGGCTTTCATGTCTCTGTGCTCAAAATTAGGTGTGCTGCTTCTGAAATACGTGACACTATCTCAGAAAAGTTACATGTTTTATTTATATGAAGCTGGACATCCCCATCAATACCATGAAAAAAAAAGAAACAAACGTGACTTAATTTAAGCATTTCAGAATTTTGTGCAACAGCATTCTGCAAGTGCTTTCAGCCACTAATTATAGAAAGCCAGAGTCAGATCACCACACACTCCCAGTATTTTCATGACTACCACGCATGATACGTCACTCTCAGCCACGATCAAAAGATCCTCAGACATTTTGTACTTACAAATTATAACCCCCCCCCCCGGCTCAGCTTAATCTTGTCATGCTGTCACATTTGACTGGCCATGTGAAATGACCTAAAACTGTTCGCACAAGGTGGGCAAGCTGTCAGAACGATAATGGCAGGCAGACTGAGAGAAGGCTGCTACTGTTTTCTCTGGCTCAGAAGAAAGGCAGGGAGGAGAGGCTGCCACTGGGGAAGAGCGCAGCTAATCCACGTGTTTACAGATCTTATTAAACTGATTCCAAGGTGTGATGATCGTCTCTCTTTTGTTTCTCTTTTAACTGCAGCCACCAGCTGAAGAAAAAAAAACAGCAGTGATGCAGTTCTTTATGAGGAACATGTTTATATAAAAATACAGCATGCTTCATTCTAGAATTAATTCTCCTTTATTCTTTTTCAGAATGTGACAAAGTGAACTGATTTCCATTGATTTCCTGTGCTTTGTGCACCTACAGACAGTTGAAGGAAAGCCTCTTATATACAGAAACATGGCTCATAGGCACCCGTCATCTGAAACAATGTTATTCACAAATCTGGTAAGTCTGATAAATATTGTTTTATTATATTAGATGTGACAGCCATCTATGAAACCACGGATTCCTTTTTATTCTTTTGTCTGAAACTCAATTACTGCACCCAGAATCCTTTCTACATTTGTTAGAATGAATAAAAAGCACAGTATAAAATTCCTGAAATGGGACACAGTAAACTGAATATTGGTTCAGTTAAGAACTGCTACACCTCTTTTATACAGGAAACAGTGTTGTGAAATTTCAGCTTAGCCTTTGTCTCTTTCTACCCTCACAAAAAAATATAACTACCACCAAAGTATCCATGGCCTGTGCCCTGTTAAACACACCTGATATCTCCAAGAGGCATGAAGGACATTTTCTTTGACTGGGGACTATAAATGTCTGCCTATCTTTACTTACTTCAAATACTTCAAATTGTGTGGCACACTACAATATGAATCAGATGTTAAAGAGTTGGTGGTGAAATATCACAAGATAAGTTATTTTTTCTATATTAGAAAAAACTCAAATTAAAAAAAATGGCATCAAGAACAACAAACATCCCTTCCCTTAACTCAGAGGATAAAAGCCCACAATTGCCTCAGCTGTCTGTGACTTAACCCAGCTTTCCCATTCTGTGCTCTCAGAATGCATGATTGGCAGGAAGGAGCTGGTCCCACAAGGTCATGTGATAAACCAGACTAGGTTATCTGCACTTCTGGGCCTAACAAAGGTGGCTGTGGGTTTTGGACTTGATAAGAACCAATCAGAAAATAGGATGCTGCCTGTCAAGTATCTCATTTACATATTTACTTGCTCACTCTGATTAAGAAGCTAATCCGCAGCAGATTAGGTTATGAAGTGCTATTCACTGTACTGTCTGCTTTTTTTA